ACGGTTTCAATGCGTAGCATTAAATGAACAACCTTAAGTTTGTGTTCAAGTTTTATCGTACTTGTAACCAATACAAATTCAACTTGATATTATGATCTGAGAAGAAAACTAACTGCTCTCTCTAAATTCTGGTGATCCGTTACTACTTGGCGAGCTAAATGACCTGTTTCGTAGCTTTGTATAATCGGTGTTTCAAGCACGATCGCATCTAGGTGAAAAGAAACGGCATTTTTCACGAGTTTTATAATGTGTTTCATTGTTTTTCCATTGGTAAGCTCTTCTTAAATACTGTTTAACATTTTCGTTCGAGCGTTTGGTCCGGAATTAAAAATTTTGAGATCTCTTGTTTTGTTAAAAAAACAAAATGGCGCTAGGATTTAAACGGTTCAGAACAGGATTGTTAACCTGACCTTCTGTGTGCCACGTTTTACAATCTTGTCTGTGAATGTTTGTAGTTTGTACGAAACACCATCATCCAAAACGTTAATGTGCAGCATAGAACGGAAGATCGCACATTCCAGTTTATTAATTGAGAAATTTATTTGCGACTGCGTTTTTGCACCGTTATGCAAATGCAACCCAGGCTGAAACACACCAGGCGAGCCGGTGCGATCATGCGTTTTTGCATCAAGCTTGAAATAATTAGATGAACTGCATGAACGGTTGTTTCTTCGTACCTACTTTGTGCGTTCAATGCCGTAGTTCATCGTAAATTTTGCATGAAAGGAAGTAAACAATTTTCGTTTAGCGGTTTAACAATTTAGCAGTTTCCCGCCAAAAAAGTTTCACGGGACCATACGTGAAAACCGCGTATGGCTGTGGGCTGAATCTGTTAACTTTAAGTTGTAGATGGGCTGGGAGCATCCCCTGAAAATTTCAGCTTCCCAGCTTTGCTAGTTCCCGAGTTAACCATTTTGCCACCGAAAAATCTCACACGACGCTACTTTAGAACTACGTACGACTGTGGGCTGAATTTGAATGGGCTTATGTTGTACTCACGCTAGGAATATTCCTTGAAAATTTCAGCCTCCCAGCCCAGCTAATTCCCGAGTTAGCCACTTTCCCGCCTAAAAATTCACGGGGCCGTAAGTGAAAACGGCGCGTGTCTGGAAGATGAACTTGATAACTTTAAGTCGTGCGTGGGCTGGGAACATTCCCTGAAAATTTCAGCTTCCCAGCTTTGCTAGTTCCCGAGTTAGCCATTTCCCCGTCAAAAAATCTCATGGGGCCGTACGCGGGAACTAAGCACACCTGGGGGCTGAGTTTGAAACCTCTGAGTTCTCTGTGGACGGGGCTTTCTATCTTTTCTCGTTCCCGAGTTATCAATTTTCCGCCAGAACTTTTGCCCCCTCGTACGCAGAGCCAAGACTTGCGTGAGGGTTGGTACCGTATTCTGGGATGGCACTTAGCCGGGCAAACTACTAGCAAAGTCTTGGCACTGGAAGTTGCTTGGTTGCCGAGTTGAAATACCCGGACAGATGAACACACGTACACACACAAACATACACTCAGACAGAGTCGTCGCAATATGCGTTTTTGCGATTTGCATATAGGCAAAAACGCATAAAAATTCATATTGTCAAGAGGTTGTCGGAGTGTTTGTGTGTTTGTTCGGATTTTTGTCGCCACACCCAGCTCAGAAGCCGCAGGAACTAGGAAGACGGAGTATCACGACAATGATCTTGGCCCACATATTATCTAAACGGATTATGGTTATCCAAACAGTTTAAAATATAGTTACATAGGATTTTTTATCCGTACCGTCACTCTTCGGTTTTTGATTAGTTACCTTATCCTAGTCGGTAAAATACCACGTTGTAATCTAAGACTGGCAACATCCTGGACGAGCTGATGGTATTCAATACACAATTAGTACGTCTGGAACTGGCTTAAGCCCTATTAGTTGCTTTTGTCAGGAAAAACTAATGAGTTGGTAATCTCTTAAAAAAAAGAAGAGAACGTCAGGGTTGCCAGCAAGCTGAAAAACAGGAGACACAACGCTGCTTTAAAGTATCTGAAACACCTGCCAGCTGCATAGTTGGAAAATTAGGAATGAACTCCAGCTTATCGGCATACCGAATTTAATAGTAACTTCATGGTAAAGTTACTCAGAAATGTATATTTGATTATGCAGGACAATCTCTCATTTAATTCTCAGAGTTTTGGAAGAAATATCCATGCGAAGTAGGTTTTTTTAAAAAATTTTTACTGCATTACAGCGCGGGATCGAAATAGTTGTACCGTACCGGCAATACCTTCCACGGAAGTTTTTCCGAAATTTTGCTTTTACGGCAGTGGTTCGACCGGATGATCGTCAAGGAGGATATTTGTTCGCTGTTGTTAATCCTCTCGATACAGTCGTTGATCTCGGTGTGGCACTGGAATTCGCTGGTCAGTTTTCAAATTCCTTTTATTTTAGTTGATGTCCAGAACTTGTGACGTAAACTGCCCCACTTTTTGCACGCAAAAAAATTTACTGAGAGGCGTAGATTACATACGCTGCTCTTATGGCTGTTTTTACGGCCTTAAATTTCACATGCTATTCATACAATTCAAAAAAATTCAAAAGACAATGAATTTTCGGTTGAATATGCGATAGCGAAGAGTTTTTAAAAAAACTATTCAAAATCTTAAGCAAAGAAAAAGAAAAAGTAGTAGCACACGCTGCGTCTTTAGGGTTTAAAGAGTGCATGGCGGGTGGAAATAGTAGTAAATGAAAAATTTTTCTTATTGCAAAAAATTCGTAATGTACCTAGAAATCCTTCATTGAGAAATCTCTCTGCACTGCGCCTAGAAATTTTCCTCCCGGCGTAGTGAATATATGAAGCAAAAAGTTGAATTTTTGTAGGTGGGCGACAGCTAAATTTGAATGTGAATTTATAAGTCAGAATTCGTGCTCTTAGTTGTTGTTTTGTTGTTGACAAATTCAACCACCGTATGCTGACTTATTGCTTGCTTGGTTTTAATCTAGAACTTCAGCTTCAAGTTGAAACAGCAATGAGCCACAGCAGAGAACACGAAAGTGAAACAGTCTTTTGAAATACGACACTCAACAAATTTATGCTCTTTACTTTTAATGTGCGAACCAAAATGAGAAGCTTAAAATATAAGTTTCTAGTTTCTCCTTTGTCACTGAGTTTCCAATAATAAGCCTAGATTTAGAGAAAAGAGTTGTTCTCAGACTTTTCGCGTTTCCTAGAGAGGAGGAACAATATATTTTCTATTTTTCTGATCTTGTTTTTCTGAAAATTCATTCAATGCACACAAATGCACACGGACACATACACGTATAAATAAACACACGCATTCAAACACGGGATGGTAAAACTCGTCTTTCCTTCGATCCGTCATTGGTTAAACTTAATTGAGTTTCAGGTGACAGCCAAACAAATATTTCACTGCTTTATACAGACTCGAGTAAGGAAACCGAAACCATGGCGCTAGCTTCTTTCTTAGTCCCCGAATTTACCGGCCAGTGGGCTAAATTTGCTTTGGAAGTGCACGAAGACAGCGTTGTCTTGTATTTTAGATGTACACGTTTCGCAACAAGACAGGTATTCGTTTGTCTTATAGCTTGATTTTCGCACCTGTATTAAATGGAAAAAGATGAAAAAATAATAGCTGTTAAGAGAATCTGAATTCTTCTTACCATTTATTACAAACGGAAGGAATTTAATACAGACGTTTTCCTCGTAAATCTACGTTGCTTCTTTGAAATCTGTGCTTGTAGGAAACATTTTGGGTAATGAATCGGTGCACCTAGGAAACTTGTGTTTCTTAGACGAAGCGGATTTATTAGCTTCTTAGCTCGAACGTTTTTTTTTTAATCCAAATTCTTGAGTTTGAACTTTTTTTTACTTGAACTTTTTTTTTACTTGAACTTTTTTTTTAAAAAAAATTTTGCTCGTCCTAATACTGTATTGGCATCAAAGGTTATTTAAAACATTTTGTGAAAATATTCTGACAAACAAAATCTTTTTTGGAGTGATTTTTACAGTTTTCATGCCGAACTTTTTTTTAGAAAATAAATTCTGATGAAAAGCAGCTCTGAAATTATTTTTATGAATTTTGCTAAAATTTTGTTTTTGTCGACTAATTGACATTTCAGTGACAAAAATCATGAAGTGTAGTAGTGATAAACAACAGAGAAAAATGGTCAAGCATTAATTTCTTTTTTTAGTAAATGGAAGTTTGCTGGAAAGGGAGCATCTATTGTTGATGAAACTGCTTGTTGTAGTCCCTCTCATATTTACACCATTGGCCTCATTTGCATTAAATGCTAAAGTAGCATTTAGCACAAATCTGCTTTCTGAGCCTTGGACTGTTTCGGTTTCCTCTGTGGCAAGTATTTTTTTTTTCTGGCCACTTGGCTTTCAGTGAAATTTCCTGGCCCAGTCACACCAACTGGATATATCAGTATGAGTCGTCTGCCATTATCCAGGTATATTTCCAGTTACTATTTAGTAATCATTTCAGGTGAAAAGAAAACCCGTGCAGTTAGTTATGGACGATGCTCATAAATTATATATTGCAAGCGCTGGGCCAATCTTAAAACGAGGATTTGAGGTTAATTACTGCATCCGAAAAAAAAAAACTTTGCACTCAATTTATCATTCGAACTTTTAAACTTTTTTAAATGTGATGTATATGTTGTTCTAACGCAATGATACGGTAAGCGAATGAATCTGAAGAAATACTTCCGGGTGATTCTCAGTCTTCACGTACATTTTCCGGATCGCGAAACTGGTTCCGAAATCAGGATGAAAAACAACGAAAATACGAAAAGTACCTTCTGCCGCGTCAGCCTGTAATGGAGCACTTCAAGAATATTTTTCTGTTTTTCGAAAAAAAGGTTGCAATACTCCGACGACATCACATGGCGATAAAATCGGAGACTCGAATGCTCCTGTTATGGATAGCCAGTTGAACAAAGCATTCTGGAAAAGGATGGGAGCGACTA